CCAGTCCTACTGTCACGCGTCTCCTTGCTACTGTTGTCACTGACCCTTCCTTTGAGTCCACTGCTGCGTCTGCTCTAGTTGCTGAGCTCGTCGACTTTGCTGCTCGCTGTCGCCTAGACTACGTCGCCAGTCTTGTTACTGAGGCTGAGTCTGTCTGTCCTCCGTCCGTCGGGGGTGAGTGTGCCCTTGGCACGGACGTCCTTGAGGACAGGCAGGAGGAGTTCCAGTGCTTGGCCGCTGCTTCACCTCATCTCGTGTCCGTACTGCTTACCCCTGAGGGAGACCCGGATGCACTTGACATCCCGACTCTGCGCTCTTACGCGGAGGCGATAGAGGGTCCCTACTCCTCTCAGTGGCAGGCAGCTATGGACGCAGAGATGGCTTCCTGGAAGTCCACAGGCACCTACGTTGACGCTGTTCCCCCTCCTGGGGCGAACATCGTCAGTGGCATGTGGATTTTCAGGGTGAAGCGACCGCCGGGTTCTCCGCCTGTCTTCAAGGCGCGTTACGTGGCTCGTGGCTTCAGTCAGCGGCAGGGAGTTGACTACTTTCAGACCTTCTCTCCCACCCCGAAGATGACCACTCTTCGGGTACTGCTGCACGTAGCTGCTCACCGTGACTACGAGCTACACTCTCTTGACTTCAGCACTGCTTTCTTGCAGGGCAGCCTGCACGAGGAGATCTGGCTGCGTCGCCCACCTGGCTTCACTGGGTCTTTTCCTCCTGGCACCCAGTGGAGCCTACGGCGGCCAGTCTACGGTCTCCGCCAGGCACCGCGTGAGTGGCACGACACACTGAGGACTACACTTGCGGCTCTTGGGTTTGCTCCCTCTACTGCCGACCCGTCGCTGTTTCTGCGCACCGACACTTCTTTGCCGCCGTTCTACATCCTCGTGTACGTCGACGACTTGGTCTTTGCCACAGCTGACACTGCAGGACTAGCCCACGTGAAGTCCGAGCTGCAGAAGAGACACACGTGCACTGACCTGGGTGAACTGCGCAGCTACCTTGGCTTGCAGATCACTCGGGACAGAGCACGCCGCACCATTACCCTGACTCAGTCACACATGGTGCAGCAGGTCCTTCAGCGCTTCGGCTTCACGTACTCCTCGCCTCAGGCCACTCCTCTGCCTACTCGCCACTCGCTCTCAGCTCTGCCTTCGGATGAGTCCGTAGAGTCGAGTGGCCCGTACCCAGAGCTTGTTGGCTGCCTCATGTACCTGATGACCTGCACACGACCTGACCTTGCATACCCTCTTAGCATTCTTGCACGCTATGTTGCTCCTGGGAGACACAGACCGGAGCACATGGCTGCAGCGAAGAGGGTGTTGCGCTACTTGTGCAGTACGTCGGGCATGGGGCTTGTGCTTGGAGGGCAGAGTCCAGTGGTCCTTACTGGGCACGCAGACGCTTCTTGGGCTGACGACCAGGCTACGCAGCGGTCGTCACAGGGTTACACCTTCAGCCTTGGTTCCGGCTCTGTTTCGTGGCGGGCTACTCGCTCGTCTTCTGTTCTCGGCTCCAGTTGTGAGGCTGAGATCTACGCAGGAGCCATGGCTGCACAGGAGCTTCGCTGGCTCACCTACCTGCTGACTGACCTCGGAGGGTTGCCTCGTTCTCCTCCAGTGCTGTACGTAGACAACAAGGCCATGCTGGCCTTGTGTCGGGAGCAGCGACTGGAGCACAGAACGAAGCACATTGCTCTCCGCTACTTTCTTGCTCGTGAGCTGCAGTAGCGTGGTCAGCTGCGTCTTGCGTACGTGGCCTCTGAGGCCAACACTGCTGATATCTTCACCAAGGCACTTGCGCCTTGTGACCATCAGCGCTTTTGTACTCAGCTGGGCCTTGTGCCTACCTTGCCTCACTTGCTCACCTCTTGACCTTGCTTGTACTGTTATATATGTATATACCTGCTCTTGCTTGTCTAGCCTTTTTATATATATGTGTACTCCTGCTTGTGAACTGGCCTTGTGGCCTTGAACTTGTGCTCGGAATGTGTGGTGACTTTGTGATCCACCCTGAGCTTGCTTTGCTTTGCTTTGCTTGACTGGTCTTGTGACCCCTTGTTCTCCCCCACTTTGCCTATGGGGGTGTGTCAGAACATTATAGCTCATGCATATTGTGTAGGCTATAGTGGGGTACTCCATAAGGGGTACAACCCAATTAGGGTTAGTACTTGTACCCAATTCATTCATAGTTCATCTCATTCCTGTTTTCTTGATTCACACATGTTTCTTCAAGACTGTCAACCAAAATTTGGGCACGCCTTTAGATTCCTTCACGACCTTCCCTCCTTGCTGATGCTGCTGCTGCTTCCCTCCTCCCTCCTCCTCTTCCCCTTCATCTTCCTCCTCTGGGTCTGCAATGGCTGCCTCCTCCTCTGTCGGCTCTGATTCTCCGCACATGATTTGCTTTCGCCTCTGATATACAGAGACAGATTTTGACAGGTGGATGGAAGCATGATTGGATTAACGGGTGGATTTCCACGTCCATTAAAAACCAACATGTAGTCAAGACATGCATGCATATGATAGATAGATTGGAGAGAAATGCATGCATATGATTGCATATGATAAAATAACAGCCGGAACTCGGGAATTGATTGGATGAAACTTGGGGATGCCCAGGAGAGAATAGAATACCTCGAAGAGAGGGTCGCATGTTCGCTGATAAGCCTTAAGAGCCTTAGACACATCCGCGTTGTAAACGGATTCGAGTTTGTCGTACTCCTCCTGAGAGAGAATAAAAAAGATAGGAAGAGGGTGAAGCAAACTGATACAAAGTGAAGAACCATTTTCTCAAGCAGATGTGAAAAATAGAACAGCAAATAGAATCGAGACTTATTTTTTAAATCTCTCAACACAAACGACTCAAAGGGACTCAACACAACCAACGATTTGCTTCCACGGGCTCTGTTATAGTTGGTCTCGTCAACTGAAGCTCGTTTAACAGGTAACAGAAAGCGGGATGATAGAAGAGCTAACCTGCGGCTTCATATGCTAGTCTAGTAGCGTCTAATAGCAGACGGAAAGCGGGATGACAGAAAGACAACCCACTGTTCCATAAGCTCGTCTAGCGGATCCATGGTTGCGGTGCGCGTCTTGTTGAGACGAAGTAACGCAAGTACCGTATGGCCCCGGATATAGGCGCCGTCCGATTAAAGGCGCCGGCGCTTATATCTGGAGCATGGCGCTTATGGCCGAAACTCGATTATAAGCGCCCCCCCTGTAAACCCTTTACTTATTATAAGCGCACATACAATTTTAATTTGAAATCATGTTTAAAATGGTAACGATATTACTTTCTGCAGCGAGTCTTTTTTCAATTTCGCTTCGTTTGACTCGCGAAGACCTGACTGGCTGCGCGTCCAGTGGCATGATGTGTCTTTGCCTCTGTGTGTTGGCAGAATCTCGCTTGCGCGCGATTCTGCTTTGTGACGCTAAAACATTTCGCCTCGGTTGAAATGGCAAGAATAAAATGTACAATCTGGTGCTCTAAATATATATATTTGTATTTGTCATTATATAAGCGCCGGCGCTTATGCCCAAAACTCATTTAGAAGCGCCTCCCTTAAAAAAATCGATTTTATTATAAGCGCACGTGCGCTACTATCCGGAGCCATACGGTAACCTTTGAGTCGACTCACAAAACTGTTTCATGCGACGTGAGAAGGCTCACCTGCAGCTTCATGAGCTCGTCTAGCGGATCCATGGCTGCTGCTTCACGCCTCGTCTTCGCGGCTCGTCGTCACGCCTCGTCGAGACAGAGCAACGCAAGGGACGGAAGATCTGCTTCCAGAAAAAAGCCCAGAAATCTGATGAGGAGATACACGGTAACCAGAATGGAATTGAAAAATGCTCGTCGAGGCAGCGTCGTGAGAGATTCCGCGTCGAACTTTACAATTTCAGTTCGTAATATGTATCCCTTCGTCTTAATCTGAATTTCCGAGTCGTAATCTCTCCGAGAGCTGCTAGAGAACGCACGAATGCCGTCCCTAGCTGCTTCCCAACAGCGAAGTCTCCACTCCGGAAAATATTTTCCAGCAACCGACTTTCCTAAGCGTCTGTAGTTATGCTTTCTTTGGCATCCATGGGTTCATAGCATCCCAAACCGTAAGTTATGGTGCACACAGCACACATGGCCCCAAGTGAAGGTCAACAGAGGAATTGAACCGCCGTAGCCCATGTCAGGGTACGGCTAGAAATTGTTTTCATTACCGAGTCCTGATATTTCATGATGTTCTCAACCACTCCGCCAAAAAGCGACAGCGTAATCGGGTTCTGGTTCGTCATCTCCCGAGTTATTGTCGGTTGGGTAATTTATATCTGTACGACACCTGAAAACTGAGGCGAGTTCCATCAGCCCTTCGAAAAGGGTCGACACAGAAAGCAAACAGATTGTGCCCTGCTTCAAACCTCTTGATTGGGAACGTTATTATTTTGCAGGGAAGCGGTTTTATACAGCTCGTAACGAGCTTTCGCAAGACATGCTAAAGCGAGAATTGTGTCACCCTCATTAGATACTGATTGTAACAAGCTAGCCGCCAAAAAAGATGTATATACAGCAGCCACAAACAAAACTCGTTGCACTTTCAATCTAAGGTATGAAAAGCAGGCAGCGCAATGCAGCACTTTTGCTTGTCCTTCAACAAAATGCAACGACCTTCTTTGTCCCACTCCAAATCACAAACAGCCATGCCATCCCGCACACGAAACGTAGATGCCGAACTGCTACTCACCCTTTCCTTTTGTACTACTGCATCTGCTGCTCCAGCACCGTCAACCCCTTCCGTGCTTCCACCATCATCAACCCTTTTATTGCTCACACCATCGCTTACTTTTACCGGCTTCCACGTAAATAAATGTGGTGTACCGGAGCAAAATGCAATGGAAGGAACCGACGGGTGCCAGGCAGCCGCCCTGATTGGCTGACGCTGCAGCAGCACCGCCGCCAGCTCAAACTTGCGTCGTGCCGCCCAGATCCAAAGGACGGTCGGGATGTCATCGCAGCGCGTGGCTAGGTACTCCCCGGTGGCACTCCACTGTATGAGACCTGGAGGGTGGAAAAGAATAAAGCAGGGGGGTGAAGGGGAGGGGGGAGGGGACCGTTGGGTGGTGGGAATGGGTGTGTTGTTTGGGATGTCATCGCAGCGGGTGGTTAGGTACTACCGATTGGCACTCCACTGTATGGGACCTGGAGCGGGGAGAGGAGTGGGGGGGAATGGGGGTGTTGGGGGTTGGGGATGGGTGGGGTGTTTTAAAGGAGGAAGAGCTTGAATGGCAGAATGGGCAACTGCTTTTGAGACGTCTCAAAAGCCACGTGTAGAGAGGGTGTTTTTGAGACGTGTAGAGAGGGTGTTTTTGAGACGTCTCAAAAACACCCTCTCTACATGGGGATGGGTGGGGTGTTTTAAAGGAGGATGAGCTTGACTGGCAGAATAGGCAACTGCAAAACGGTGCACGGCCCCTGACATTGCAGCAGCACGGGAAGCATTGGGGATGGAGGGTGTGAGGCAAGAAGAGAAGAGGAGAGGAGGGGGGAGTAGAGAGATCTCAACAAAGCTCAGGCAAGGTCAGTCAAAACTCAGTCAAGCTCAGGCAAGCTCAATCAAGCTACATCAATCACAGTACAGCTCAGTCAGTTTCAGCCAATCTCAGTCAAACTCAGCCAATCTCAGTCAAGCTCAGTCAAGCTCAGTCAAGCCGAATAACAGTCAAGCCCGGTCAAGCTCAGTCGAATTCAGCCAATCTCAGTAAATCTCAGCCATTCTCAGTCAATCTCAGCCCATCTCAGGTTATTTCAACCACCCAAACAAATTCCACAAGATTCACACCCCCAGCACAGACTTACCAACTCCTTGTTTTGGGTTGGGCTTGTCAACTGGAGGCTTCTGGACGGGCAGCTGAACGGGCAGCTCAAGCACCCTGTATGAAACGATTTCCACGTCTTCCTCCTCGTGGGCTTCTGCAAAACGGGACGGATCAGTTAAAAAAGAATATGTGTTTCTAGTTAATTATTTTCCCCAGTTTATGTATTCGGAATATGCTATACAATAAGAAGACTCAACATGCCATATCTTATGCCATATGACCTCAAAAATATCCTACAGGTTTCACATCACACTTGGTATCAGGACACAAACGCACCTGATATCAGAACACAATGCATATGCTATCAGGACTGAATTCAACACGTATCTGATGCTATCAGGACGAAGCTAACACACTTATCACATGGTATCAGGACAGAACGCACATGGCATGACAGGACACATGCTATCAGGACACAACTCACCTGGTGCCATAGTGGTGGCAGCTTCAGAAACCCCAAGGCATTCCTGGGGGTGGAGGAGTGGTCGATGAAATGGATGGGGTGGAAAGGGGTGGGAAGGGGTGGGACGGGATGGGAAGGGATGAGGAATTAGAGGCCTTGTTGCGCCAAGATGTGCAATTTTGATTCTTCGTTTCACGGAAAGCATGTCTCTGAGACTCTGAGAGCAACCACACCAATCTCTCGCGCACACCACCACACCGCACACACACACACACACACACCACTTCTCACACACCTCGTACACCACGGCAGCAGCAGCCAGTGTGATTTTGACAGCTGGCGCGTGCGGCAGCTCCACTACTGGCTGCCCGTCCGCCGCCCGGAAGACTCGCAGCAGGCGGTCGGCCGAACAACCCACCGCCACCAGAGCACCTGAAGAAGCACCTGGCAGGGCACCTGAACCGCCGCCTGTGCTGCTGCTGCTGCTGTTTGCGTTGCAAGGGGCAATGGAGTGCGAAGCAGCGCCAAGTGAAAAGGCAGGGGAGGGGGCAACAGCCCTGACCCCCAGCCCTGGCCAGGGAAGCTCTATGCGTGCTTGGGGCTCGCCAGAGGGTGAGAAGAGCAGCAGCTGGTGGGGGTGATGGGGGTTGAGTGAGAGTAGAGATGGGGAAAGGGGATGTGAGGAGGTGTTGAGAGTAATTGGGTAAGAAAACTGAGTTAACAGCCCTGACCCCCAGCCCCAGCCAGGGAAGCTCTATGCGTGCTTGGGGCTCGCCAGAGGGGGAGAAGAGCAGCAGCTGGTGGGGATGAGAAGGTGAGAGGAAGGGGGGAAGAGGGAGAGAGATGGGCCAATGGGGCAGAGGGTCTAAAGGGAACCACAAATCAAACCGTATGCTTGTACCGCCGCTGAATTGATACAAAGGACCATTTGAGAGAGGGGTAGAGGAGGTGCTGACACCTAGCCCTGGCTAGGTCAACTCTGGATGCGTGGCTAGGTACGCATTCTGACTCCTAGCCCTGGCTAGGTCAACTCTGTGCAACTGTGTGTCTGGGGCTCTCCGGATTGTGAGAAGACCAGCAGCTAGTGGGTTAGAAAGGAGAGAGAGGTGGAAGAAAGGGAGGGAGATGTTATAAGATGCAACTAAACTCGCGTTTGCTGCCCATCAACAGTCGACACGATAGCTGAATTCACCTGATAAGATGTAGCCAATATTTGTTTTTTCGTCCAAGATAGCTCACGTACCCTGAATTCCATTGGGTGATCCCAGACGATAACCCCACTGCCCTCAGCCGCCCATGCCACGTCAGCAGCGTCCACAGTGTCCGTGCGGAAGCAAACCACCTCCTGCCACGTGTCACAAGCGTACAGGCTCACCACGTCACGACTCTGCCCCGCTGCCCCCCCTCCCCCTCCTCCTCCCCTTCCGCCTCCCCCCCCTGCTACAGCAGATGCTCTTCGTGCTCCTCCTCTTGCCTCTGTTCTAACTCCTTGCACCCCTCCCAACCCCACAGCAGAGCTCTCACTCGTTCTTCTAGCATTGGCACTACCAGCACCAACACCAGCAGCAGCACCAGCAGCACCAGCAGCACCAGCAGCAGCCCCGAATTCCGTAGCCCCAGTAGCAGCAGGGGTGGCAGCGGCAGGTGGCATGCTTTGATTGGACGGGAGCGAGTGGAGGGCTGCTAGGAGGAGGTGATTGGGTGAGAAGGCGAGGGCGCGGACAGGGTGCTTGGGCAGCGGGAAGTGCACTGGGGGAGACTGGCTGTGGGGTGGGAAAGGGACAGGACAACGGAAAAAGGAGCAAGGGGAATGATTTAGGCAATGATACGGAGGAGGTGGTTGGGGGAGAAGGCGAGGTGTATTTTGAGGTGCCTCAAAATACACCTCACTGCACGCGGATTTTGAGGCGCCTCAAAATACAGGACAACGGAAAAAGGAGCAAGGGGGATGAGTTAGGCAATGATACGGAGGAGGTGGTTGGTAGAGAAGGCGAGGGCGCGGATGGGGTGCTTGGGCAGCAGGATGTGCACTGGGGGAGACTGGCTGTGGGGATTCGCAGGGGTGCGGAAAGGAAGGAAAATACAGAGGGGGTTGGAAGTGAAAGTTGGTGTTTTGAGGGCTGCTAGGAGGAGGTGGTTGGTAGAGAAGGCGAGGGCGCGGATGGGGTGCTTGGGCAGCAGGATGTGCACTGGGGGAGACTGGCTGTGGGGATTCGCAGGGGTGCGGAAAGGAAGGAAAATACAGAGGGGGTTGGAAGTGAAAGTTGGTGTTTTGAGGGCTGCTAGGAGGAGGTGGTTGGTAGAGAAGGCGAGGGCGCGGATGGGGTGCTTGGGCAGCAGGATGTGCACTGGGGGAGACTGGCTGTGGGGATTCGCAGGGGTGCGGAAAGGAAGGAAAATACAGAGGGGGTTGGAAGTGAAAGTTGGTGTTTTGAGGGCTGCTAGGAGGAGGTGGTTGGTAGCGAAGGCGAGGGCGCGGATGGGGTGCTTGGGCAGCAGGATGTGCACTGGGGGAGACTGGCTGTGGGGATTCGCAGGGGTGCGGAAAGGAAGGAAAATACAGAGGGGGTTGGAAGTGAAAGTTGGTGTTTTGAGGACTGCTAGGAGGAGGTGGTTGGTAGAGAAGGCGAGGGCGCGGATGGGGTGCTTGGGCAGCAGGATGTGCACTGGGGGAGACTGGCTGTGGGGATTCGCAGGGGTGCGGAAAGGAAGGAAAATACAGAGGGGGTTGGAAGTGAAAGTTGGTGTTTTGAGGGCTGCTAGGAGGAGGTGGTTGGTAGCGAAGGCGAGGGCGCGGATGGGGTGCTTGGGCAGCAGGATGTGCACTGGGGGAGACTGGCTGTGGGGATTCGCAGGGGTGCGGAAAGGAAGGAAAATACAGAGGGGGTTGGAAGTGAAAGTTGGTGTTTTGAGGGCTGCTAGGAGGAGGTGGTTGGTAGAGAAGGCGAGGGCGCGGATGGGGTGCTTGGGCAGCAGGATGTGCACTGGGGGAGACTGGCTGTGGGGATTCGCAGGGGTGCGGAAAGGAAGGAAAATACAGAGGGGGTTGGAAGTGAAAGTTGGTGTTTTGAGGGCTGCTAGGAGGAGGTGATTGGTAGAGAAGGCGAGGGCGCGGATGGGGTGCTTGGGCAGCAGGATGTGCACTGGGGGAGACTGGCTGTGGGGATTCGCAGGGGTGCGGAAAGGAAGGATAATACAGAGGGGGTTGGAAGTGAAAGTTGGTGTTTTGAGGGCTGCTAGGAGGAGGTGGTTGGTAGAGAAGGCGAGGGCGCGGATGGGGTGCTTGGGCAGGGGGATGTGCACTGGGGGTGACTGGCTGCGAGGATTAGCAGGAGAGGGGGAGGGGAGGAAAACAAAATGAAAGATGGTGGTTTTGGGGACTGTAACAGAGGAGGTGGTTGGAAGAGAAGGCGAGGGCGCGGATAAGGTGCTTGGGTAGGGGAATGTGCACTGGGGGAGACTGGCTGTGGGGTGGGGATGTGAAGGGAGAAAAGGCAAAGGAGAAGGGAAGAGAGAAGGGAGAACGAAGCAAAGGGGATGGTAAGGGACTGGAGTGAACGAGGAGGTTGAGGGAAAAGGAGAGAGCTGTATGGTATGGGGTGCTTGGGCAGGGGGATGTACATTGGGGGAGACTGGCTGCGGGGGGGATCAGCAAAATGGGGAAAGGGAGAAAGATGGTCTGGGGGGAGAGGGAGAGGGCGCACAAGGTGCAAGAGCAAGGGGGTGTGCACTGGTATTCCATACAATCACCTGGAAGTCGCATTGCGTATAGTCACCTGGAAATAACATTCTATTCTACGTGGTCACCTGGAAGTGACCCTTTCATGTAGTCACTTGGAAGTGACACTCCTTACACTAAAAACGGCAGTCACCTCCCCTAAAGTCATCTAGGATGGACATTCCATATATTTACCTGGAAGTCACGTTCCATATAGTCACACGGAGCCTGTGGTCCGAGGAGAGCAGCAGGTGGGTGGAGTCCGGAGCCCATGCAGCGTGCAGCAAGCCTGCTGTCTCGTCCTCGTGCACTGTGGCGGACCAGTCAGGGAGAGCCACGGCCCACACCTGAAACGAGGGGGTTATTGTACGCGATAAGAGGAGATTCAGCATGTGTGCGTGGAATCCGGGGCCCATGCAGCGTGCAGCAGGCCTGCTGTCTCGTCCTCGTGCACCGTGGCGGACCAATCAGGGAGAGCCACGGCCCACACGTGAAGGAAGGGTGTGATATGAGATCCAGACATAGCTCAGTGAGCTGCGTGCGTGCAGGAGGCTTAAAGCAAAGGAAAAACAGCGGTATGATATGAAGGAAGGGTGTGATATGAGATATGGGTTTTCACATGCGATAACCGGAACTAGGGGCCAGGGTGCCTTCTACTCTAGTTTATGGTGAATTAGCTCCGTGTATGCACTGTAATTTACACGCACTGTTGCTTACATGCACGTTAACCATAGCTTACATGCTGTACCTTACATGCACTTTAGCTTACATAAACTGTAGCTTACGTGCACTGTAGCTTACACGCCCTGTAGCTTACACGCTCTGTAGCTTACATGCACTGTAGCTTGTGAGTAGCAAGCTGCGAACACCATCGTGGAATCAGGAGCCCATTCGACGGCTGAGATCGGCCCGGTGCAGGTGCACGTTCGGAGGTCCTGTAGTTGAATTGAGTGGGGGCATACCGGGGACAGAGATCACAGATCGGCAGGTAGGGAGGGGAGGAGACGGGGGACAAGAAGAGTAAGGTGGATGGCAATCGGACGAAACAACAAACGCTCCAATCGTTTCAGAAACACTGTAAAAAAAAAAAATAGATTCGTGCAGACTGCTGGTTCAAGTTGTTAGCGCCAGCCAGCAGTCGAGATATGCATGAGATGGTTATAGGAAACATATTAGTTGCCGGGAGAGACGGTACGGAGCGCAGGTGCAGCCTCTTTCCCATTGCGACGGGGAGGCACCGGCCGTCGGGGGAGAGTGTGAGGCGAATACAGGAAATTGAGCAGTAGGTACCGAACACTATTACTTGCCTCGAGAGTCGGTACGGAGCGCAGGTGCAGCTTCTTCCCCTGCGCGACGGCGAGGCACCGGCCGTCGGGAGACAGGCTGCAGGCGCCAGAGTGAGGTAGCACCTCTGCGACGTCCATTTCAAGGGACAATGATACTTCAACGGGTCGGAGGTCCTAGTCTAAAGAGAAACGACGTAGTCTAAAGAAAAGGGACGTAGTCTAAAGAAAATCCCGGAGTGTACGGGGTCCTAGTCTAAGCTGAATTTCTCAATACTGAACCGACCGACCGAAGATGGAGGTGGCGGCGAAAGCAGTGAAAGTGGAAACTATTGAATGGAAGGGGATCTGACATATGCACGGAGGATGGCAAGCAGGTAGAACGTTAGGTAGCATGGATCAGTCTTGGGAACTCCGAAATACGTCTAGCGTTTAGTTATCGGCTCCTGCTTTCAGTGTCAGGAATTTGACGGAATCTCCCAAGCTTGTCCTAATCCCGAGGCTTTCTTAGGTGCAATCTGGAGAAGTGAAATGAAATGAACCATCCACCTTGGGAATGCTGAAGTGCGAGAATTCAAAAGTTTCTGAAAAACGCGGGAAACAGGTGGCTGAAGGGACGGAAGGAGCTGTCAGACGGAACTTTGCGGTTTGCAGTGAAATGCGTTAGTGGCTTGAGCTCGACTAGGCGAATAAGCGTGTATACGTAACCTTGCTGAACTCAATGTAATATCTATGAGCGTTTTGACACGTAAAATCACATCCTTAAGAACGATTTCTAAGCGATCTCCATTTTATGATGTGATAAATTTTCACTATGGATCAAATATCTCTTTATAAGCGCATCAATCTCAGAATTGAACACTTAAATGTAGGTAATATGCTCATACGCGCTAGCATGTTTTTGTTAGGTTTTACACAAAAGCCAACCTCTTTATGAAGAGGAGCAAAGAGGCAAGGCGAGCGGCCGCCAAATTTATTCAAGCAGGTCCTCGCCCTCCCTCACACCGCCTTGAAACCAGGGACTTCGGAGCAGGCCGCAAGCTACAAGTAAATTAATATCCTTTCGATATAATCGCTCTATCTCCGCAGCTGATTGTGAGAGCATTGAAGCCGCGGTATCTAGCTGAAGGCGCTAGCAGCTCAAGGGGAGTAGCACACGTGGCCGATTCCGACGTGGAGAATGCGCAACCAGGCGACCCGTAACAGCCATGAGCATCGTCATGAGCTCAACGAGTTTTTAAGAATCTTATACTGATTGCTTACTGGCCATGAACAGCAGCAGCAGCCCCATAAGCTTTGTTAATCTCTGAGGATTCCCGATAAGGCCATCGCGTGCGAACCCGCCATGAGCTCAGTTAGTGTCTGAGAGTTCTCAACGCAACGACAATCGTCACGTCAACCCATCGCATGATCAGGCCATAGCGAGTGAAGCACCATGAGCAGCGTTGAGCCTTTCCGTCGGTACGTGCTCGCTCGTGTTGCCTCTGTAGTGCTCTCGCTATTGTCAGAAGCGGTACCGTCACTACCGTCCCCTGTTATCACCTACGCAACAGCCCCAGAGGCTTGTAATTAGTCCAATTACGTATCTCCTTTCCGACTCCAATCTTTCCTCATCTGTACCGCAGGCTTGTGAAACTAGTGGCTAGTAATATATCCAAATTCTTTTTTATTTCCATTTTCTGCTCACGCTCTCTCTACTCTTGCAGGCTGGTGAAACTAGTGGCTCGTGCATTTTACGACGACGATGTAACAGATGAGGAGAAGGATAAAGACAAGGAGAAGGAGAAGGAGAAAGAGAAGGAGAAGGATAAGGGTGCCAGTCGCAAGGCAGAGCGGATATGCGGAGGGGAGACCAAGGGACTCACTATAGTCGTCCTCGATGCCCTTACAAGGTACAATTTATTTTTGCTTGTTTGTTTTCCTTACTTGACTGGCCGGTAAATATCAAGGATCAATGTCGGTACATTGTTTATCAATTCAAGTACCCCCTCCCCTCAACCTCCCTCCCGCCTCAAGCAGGCGGCAGTGGATGCAGGAGGAGGAGCTGGCACGGCAGCTGCATGTGAGTGACTTATGTGACAACACATCTCTGCTCCTTCGCTCTGTGCCTTAACCTCCCTATCTCATCCCCCTCTCCACCAGGCGGCAGTGGATGCGGGAGGAGGAGCTGGCACGGCAGCTGCGTGTGCACCCGAAGCAGCTGAGTTGCTCATGTAGCAATGTTTCCTTTTCTGTTTCCCTGTCTTTCTCTCCCTTTGCCACCCAACAGGCGGCAGTGGATGAGAGAGGAGGAGTTGGCACGGCAGCTGCATCTGCACCCGAAGCAGCTGAGGCGGACATTGAAGATGCTGGAGGAGGAGCTGATGATCGTGCGCGAGCACAGGAAGGAGGTGAGTGCGGTGGGGTGTGGTGCGGTGCGGTGTGGTGGGGTGTGGTGGAGTTTATGTGTGATATGGTGGTGCGGTTTAGTGCAGTGGGTGGTAACCACTTGAAGCAGCTGAGGCGGACGCTGAAGATGCTGGAGGAGGAATTAATGATCGTGCGCGAGCACAGGAAGGAGGTGAGGGCGGTGGAGTGTGTTAATGGAGGAGTACGCGTGTGTTACAGTGTGGTGTGGTGTGGTGTGGTGGTGAGTAGTAGTCACTTGAAGTGCTGTGCTATGCAGAGCAGTAGAGTAGACAAGACGTAGAGGCAGGAGAGAGTGGAGCGTAGCAGCTTGCTGTGTGCGTCCGTTTCGATATATCTTTCCTCTTCTCCTCTCCCTCAACGTTTACCCAACACCCCAACCTCGTCTTCCTATGCAGAACACGAGAGCAGCCAAGAAACAGAAGGGGGAGGGGGAGGAGGGGAAGGAAGGGGAGGGGGAAGGCGAGGGGTCGAAATGGGAAGGCAAGCCGGGGCAGAAGCCAAAGCAGCACTCCCACTCCTACTGCTGCCTGCACTACCCCCAGGTATGTCTGCAACAGTCTTATTCACTATTGAGATGACTCAGGAGGAGGGGATGGAAGGGAAGGTGGAAGGTGAGGGGTAGAAATGGGAAGGGAAGCCGAAGCAGCACTCCCACTCCTACTGCTGCCTGCACTACCCCCAGGTATGTCTGCAACAGTCTTATTCACTATTGAGATGACTCAGGAGGAGGGGATGGAAGGGAAGGTGGAAGGTGAGGGGTCGAAGTGGGAAGGGAAGCCGAAGGAGCACTCCCACTCCTACTGCTGCCTGCACTACCCCCAGGTATGTATTGTACATGTAGCCGCCTTTCTTACAAGCACTAATAATATCGAAGTGGAAAGGCAAGCTAGGGCAGAAGCCGAAGCAGCACTCCCACTCCTACTGCTGCCTGCACCACCCCCAGGTGCGTATTGCAACCCCCAGGTACGTACATGATTCTCCACCGCATGCATCAGTACCGCATGCATCAGTACCGCATGCATCAGTACCGCATGCATCAGTACCTGCCAGGCAGATTGACCTCCCCCCTGTTCGTTCCTCCCCCACATGCCACTTGCCTCTCAACCTGACAGATCTATGACGTTGTCAGGTACCGCATTCACCGGGCGAAGAAGGCTATTAAGGACGAGTTTTGAGGCACCTCAAAAGCCCCCCCTGTTCGTTCCTCCCCCACATGCCACTTGCCTCTCAACCTGACAGATCTATGACGTTGTCAGGTACCGCATTCACCGGGCGAAGAAGGCTATTAAGGACGAGTTTTGAGGCGCCTCAAAAGCCCCCCCTGTTCGTTCCTCCCCCACATGCCACTTGCCTCTCAACCTGACAGATCTATGACGTTGTCAGGTACCGCATTCACCGGGCGAAGAAGGCTATTAAGGACGAGCTAGACAGTCGCAAGGAGGTCATGTACCTGCTGTGCCCCAACCCGCACTGCAAGGCCCGGTGGGTGCCGTTCCTTGCCTGCCCTTGTTGCTGCTGCGCCGAACATGGGTGCTGCTCCATTCTGCTTGCTCTGGCAGCCAAAAGGAGGTTATGCACCTGCTGTGCCCCAACCCGCACTGCAAGGCCAGGTGGGTGTCTCTCCCTGCTGCCCCCACTGTTGCTGCTGCTGCTCCATTGTGTGCTGTTTGGTAGGCTGCCCCACTGTGCTTTGAGACACTGTCTCAAAGCTCGACAGTCGCAAGGAGGTCATGTACCTGCTGTGCCCCAACCTGTGTTCCAGAAGACGCGTCCTGCGTCTGTAGGACGCAGTGCGTCTAGACGCTGCGTCCTAGACGCAAGACGCTTGAGTAGGCCTTTTAGACGCTGAAAAAGACGCATGCTCAGGCAGGCTAAACAAAAGATCGGGCAGCACAAGAAAAACTCCAATGGGGCACGGGTTGGGGGGGGGGGAGGGGGGATGGACGTAGCTCACATTTCAGCCAAATGTTTAGGATACCATTTTTTTTCAAATGTTTTGAGTTCCATTTCAGCCAAATGTTTAGGGCATCGTCATGCTTGGTAGCGGAGGAGGAAGAACTAGGAGAAGCCATAAGTTAGGTGAGAAAAAAACTAAACCCCCAAGGGTTTTCCAAGGAGAATTGGGTTGAATTAAAGAGGAGGAGCACAAATGAAGCATTTGTGCTCCTAAATCCTCTTGGTGGTAAGCAACATTGGTTTGGTTGAGTAGATGCTGTGCGGTTGAGTAGGATGCGTTTCAATTTTGGTTAGGGGGGGGTTTCGTTTTAGGGTTGTGGGCTGTTTTTTACGGTCGAATTCGTTTGGGGGGGGCAAAATTTCGCGATTTCGACATTCGCGTCGAAATCGCGAAAGGCAATGTCGCGCCTGGTTAATTTTTTTTCGGTCAGCCCGAAAAAAAATAGCCCATGCGTCTTGCGTCTAAAGGTGCGTCCTGCGTCTGGACGGGTCCAGACGCAAGACGCAGGACGCACCCAGCGTCTTCTGCAACACAGGCCCCAACCCGCACTGCAAGGCCAGGTGGGTGTCTCCACATTGGATACGGACAGACTCATCGATCCCGTGGACTTCAATCTCAAGTGCGAGCGCTGCCACTCAGAGCTGGAGGCATGCTGGTAGGCATGCTGGGAGGGGTTGACCCTATGTACCTGTCTGTCTGTTCTCTTCCTCTGCCTGTCTGATGCTCCACGTTGGATACGGACAGACTCATCGATCCAGTGGACTTCAATCTCAAGTGCGAGCGCTGCCACTCAGAGCTGGAGGCGGAATCTAATATGCTGGGCGGGGGAGGCGGAGGGGAGGGATTGACTTGGTTGACTTATTGACCTTCTGTCATCTCTTTCCCCTCCCCCATATAATCAGGTATTCCACACTAGATACAGACAGACTCATCGATCCAGTTGATTTCAACCTCAAGTGCGAGCGCTGCCACTCAGAGCTGGAGGCAGAATCGGACATGCTGGGAGGGGGAGGCGGAGGGGGAGGGGTGGATGGGGAGGATAATACACGGAAGAAGAAGAAAGAGGCTCTTCAAAACATGCTGGCGAGGTTCGAGGTGAGTGGGGAGTGGTAGAGATGGTTACGGAAGGAAGAGGAAGAAAGAGGCGCTTCAAGACATGCTGGCGAGGTTCGAGGTGAGTGGGGAGTGGTAGAGATGGTTACGGAAGGAAGAGGAAGAAAGAGGCGCTTCAAGACATGCTGGCGAGGTTCGAGGTGAGTGGGGAGTGGTAGAGATGGTTACGGAAGGAAGAGGAAGAAAGAGGCGCTTCAAAACTTGCTGGCGAGGTTCGAGGTGAGTGGGGAGTGGTAGAGATGGTTACGGAAGGAAGAGGAAGAAAGAGGCGCTTCAAGACATGCTGGCGAGGTTCGAGGTGAGTGGGGAGTGGTAGAGATGGTTACGGAAGGAAGAGGAAGAAAGAGGCGCTTCAAAACTTGCTGGCGAGGTTCGAGGTGAGTGGGGAGTTAGAGATGGTTATGGAAGGAAGAGGAGATGGGAATATAGAAAAGGGGCGGGGGTGGGGGAGGAGGGAGGGATGGGGAGGATAACACGAGGAAGAGGAAGAAAGAGGCGCTTCAAAACTTGCTGGCGAGGTTCGAGGTGAGTGGGGAGTGGTAGAGATGGTTATGGAAGGAAGAGGAGATGGGAATATAGAAAAGGGGCGGGGGTGGGGGAGGAGGGAGGGATGGGGAGGATAACACGAGGAAGAGGAAGAAAGAGGCGCTTCAAAACTTGCTGGCGAGGTTCGAGGTGAGTGGATGGTCAGGAAGATGGGAGGGAGGGAGGGAAGAGGGGTGGGAATATGGGGAGGGAAGGAGGATGGGGTGGATAACACAAGGAAGAAGAAGAAAGAGGCGCTTCAAGACATGCTGGCGAGATTCGAGGTGAGTGGACAGGGCGTTGGGATGAGTGGACGTAAGAAAAAAGAGTTGACAAAAATAGATTAGGCATGATGCTGAACTGAACTCGAAGCGGTTTTTGAGACGTCTCAAAAACACCCTCTCTACACGTGAGACGTCTCAAAATTAGATTAGGCATGATGCTGAACTGAACTCGTATTGAGTCGACTCAAAACTGAACTAGTTCTGAGTCGACTCAAAAGTGGACGTAAGAAAAAAGAGAGGACAAAATTAGACTGTGCATGATGCTGAACTGAACTGAACTCGAAGCGGTTCGATCCGAACAGGCGCGAATATGTTTTTTTTTTTTTTTTTCATTGCCCTCCCACCCACCCACCTACCCTCCTCCCCACCCCCAGCGCCAACTGAAGCCCCTGATGGAGTTTGGGGGGGCGCCTCAAAAAGAGCGAAGGTGAAGGCGTCGCCACCTCTGTTCCCCTCCCCCTTGCCCTGCCTCCTCCCCTTCCCCTCCCTCTTCTCCCCTCTCCCAGCGCCAACTAAAACCCCCGATGGAGCAGATAGTGAAAGTGAAGGACCTCACGCCGCCCTACGTCGGGTCTCTATCCGAGTGGGAGGCCAAGGCTCATCAGGTTTTTGAGTCGACTCAAAAATCGACTCTATTTTTGAGTCGACTCAAAAATCGACTCTATCCGAGTGGGAGGCCAAGGCTCATCAGGTTTTCCTTACCCTCACTGTCCCATCGCCCTGCCCTGCCCTCTCCCATCGCCCTGCCCTGCCCTCTCCCATCGCCCTGCCCTGCCCTCTCCCATCGCCCTGCCCTGCCCTCTCCCATCGCCCTGCCCTGCCCTCTCCCATCGCCCTGCCCTGCCCTCTCCCATCGCCCTGCCCTGCCCTCTCCCATCGCCCTGCCCTGCCCTCTCCCATCGCCCTGCCCTGCCCTCTCCCATCGCACTGCCCTGCCCTCTCCCATCGCCCTGCCCTGCCCTCTCCCATCGCCCTGCCCTGCCCTCTCCCATCGCCCTGCCCTGCCCTCTCCCATCGCCCTGCCCTGCCCTCTCCCATCGCCCTGCCCTGCCCTCTCCCATCGCCCTGCCCTGCCCTTCCCCAGCGCCAACTGAAGCCCCTCATGGAGCAGATAGTGAAGGTCAAGGACCTCACGCCGCCCTACTTCGGGTCTCTATCCGAATGGGAGGCCAAGGCGTCGCCAGCACAGAGGGCAGCCGCAGTGGGGGGGGAGATCCCCAAGGCCCTCCCCCGTCTGGCCGGGCCAGGGGGAGGGGGTGCCGGGTCTACCCCTCTGCCCTTCATGGGGGAAACACGGGTACGTTTCTTTCACTTGTCTGGGTGGGAATGACAGAGTAAGAATTCAAGCCTCTAAGCCTGCAAGGCGTCGCCAGCACAGAGGGCAGCCGCAGTGGGGGGGGAGATCCCCAAGGCTCTCCCCTGTCTGGCAGGGCCGGGGGGTGGGGGCGCCGGTTCGACTCCTCTTCCTTTCATGGGGGAGACGCGGGTACGTTTCACTTGTCAGAAGGGTGGGGAGTTCCCAAGGCAGCGCAAGCCTGCAAGGCGTCGCCAGCACAGAGGGCAGGTGCAGTGGGGGGGAGATCCCCAAGGCCCTCCTCCGGCTGGCAGGGCCGGGGGGAGGGGGTGCTGGGTCCACCTCCCTGCCCTTCGTGGGCGAGACACGGGTACGTTTCACAAGGTTTGGTTGAGTGGGAGTTGAAGCCTCTAAACTTCCAAGTCTCTCCCCCGGTTGGCGGGGCCGCGGGGGGGAGAGTGGGTGCTGGGTCGACTCCTCTTCCCTTCATGGGCGAGACACTGGTAGGTGGATTGCAGGGTGAGGACTGGTGGGTGGGTTGTGCCTTTCTTGAGTGGGAGTTGAAGCCTCTAAGCCTGCAAAGCGTCGCCAGCACAGAGGGCAGCAGCCGTGGGGGGGGAGATCCCCAAGGCTCTCCCTCGGTTGAGTCGACTCCCCTTTCCTTCATGGGCAAGACACGGGAGGGGTGTTGACCAAGCCGGCAGAAATGAAAGTTATTCCCAAATGGGCCATACGAGAGGGCATGGTGCTGACCGCTGCGCAGAGAGGGAATGGTGCTTGGGTTGGTACCAAAGATCTTAAAGCCCCTTTTTGTTTACCCCACCCACCTCACCCAAAACGCAGGTGGAGGTTTCAATCGGGGGAGAGGATGTTGCTGGTGCTGGTGGGGCAGCGGGAGGAAGGGGAGGAGGGGGTTGACCAAGCCAGCAGAGATGAAGGTCATTCCCAAGTGGGCCATACGAGAGGGCATGGTGCTGACTGATTCTCCACTACCCCCGTCTCCCTTGCCCCACCCACCCCATGCGCGCTCCCTCAAACACAGGTGGAGGTTTCGATTGGAGGGGAGGACGAGGGTGGTGGAGCAGGAGGGGCGGGAGGAGGAGGAGGGGGAGGAGGAGGGGAAGGGGCGTTGACCAAGCCGGCAGAGATGAAGGTCATTCCCAAGTGGGCTATACGAGAGGGCATGGTGCTGACCGCTGCGCAGAGAGGGGAGGTGGAGGAGGAGAAGCCGGGGGGCGAAGGGGAGGGCGGGGAAGGGGGAGCGGGGGAAGGGGATGGGGGAGCGGGGGAGGGTGCGGCGGGGGGGTTGTCTGCAGAGGAAGAGGCAGAGCAGCAGAGACTACAGGTGAGCTTTGGTACTATGTTGGCAAAAACGTGTTTTGCGTTTACTACGCTTTCGTATAAACGCTAGCGTCTAAACGCAAAACGCTGGTCGTGAGGGGTCTGGTACGCACAAGAATCCGCTTGACCGGGCAGGAAAAAAAACTTTTCCCCGGGCAGAACGCTGGCCTGGAGGGGGTCTGGTACGCACAGAATTCGCTGGCCCGAGATGAAAACGGGAGCTGCTGTAGTACTGGAGGTCATCGTCGCGGGTGAGATAAGAAAGGAAGAAAACGAACGCAAAGTATCGAAGGAAATTTTGACCTAACATTGAAGTGTCTACGACAAAGCTGGAAGGGATTGGTAATTGATGGGGATGGAGTGGGTTATTGAGCGGTGGATAGGAGTGGATGATTCACAAACAATTTCGAAATTCAGATGTGAGGTTGCATTCGCAATGTGCGAACTCAGATCTGAACTTCGAGACTAAAATTTTGAGTTCGCCGCCGGATTGTGAACTCAACTTTTTTTTTTTCGGTCAGCCCGAGGAAACTTTGGCGAATCTCAACATTATACGCAGCGTACGAATTCCAGATGCGTATGAACTCAATACGCAATTTCGAATCTGCGTTTTTTCCAACTTAGCTTTGGTTTATAGATACATATATTATGAGAGCATATAATACATGTATTTATAAGTTGCAACTCTTCAAGGTATTAGAGGTAATCAAGCCGGTTTGGTCGATAGAGTGGCAAACCTGTCCTTTTCGTTTCCTTATTGTTCCAACACTCCATATGAGTTGCAAGAAAAACGCTTTGAAATCTTTTCTTTGCAATATGAAGATATTCAGGAGTGCGCGATCAAACATGACTCATTGAGGTTTGAACAGAAGCGGAGGAAAGGTACAATCAATCACCTTCCTGATTTAGGAAAGCAGTCAATCACAAGCACCAAATAACCAAAGCACCAACTTGGACACACAAAGGAGAAAAAAGGGGGGGGGGGGGGGGGGGGGAACGGGGGGGGGGTCCAAGTTGACTTTTGAGGCACCTCAAAAGGCACCAACTTGGACACACAAAGGAGAACAGGGGGGGGTTCAAGTTGCTGTTTTGGATATTTAGGACAGGTGAATGCTTTCCTAAGTCAGGAAGGTGATTGTACATTGCTTTCGCGTCTGTCCAAATCTCAATGGGTCATACTTGATCGCATGCTCCTGAATATCCCCATACTGCAAACAAAACGTTTTTTTTTACGCATATATTCATATATATATCAATATATACGTAATTTTTATCATGTGTATAGTTAAGACATATTAGTTTGATACACATGCGCCTCCGCGTTTCTTTTAGGGATGATACAAGGCTTACTATGCCGTTTTGCCACAGCAGCAACTAGGGAATCCCCCTCAACCTATACCCCAACTGCAGCCTGCCCCTCCCCCCTGTTCCCCCACCCTCATATCATCAAGAATACCACAAGGCATACTATGCCGCATTGCTGCAACAGGTGTATCCCTCCCAACCTATTCTCAAACTTGAACTTCTCCCCACTGTTCCCCCACCCTCATATCATCAGGAATACCACAAGGCGTACTATGCCGCATGGCTACAACAGCAACAGATGTATCCGTCCCAACCTATTCCCCAAATTTATCCTGTTCTTTCCCCCTGTCCCCCCACCCTTATATCATCAGGAATACTACAAGGCGTACTATGCCGCATTGCTACAACAGCAACAAGCAGCGGCAGCAGCAGGCGGAGCCGATACTGCTGATGCCCCAAATGGTGCGACTTTTGAGAATTCTCAAAACTCGCACCAATACAGCAGCAGGCGAAGCGGATACTGCTGCTGCCCCCACCGCTGCTGCTACCGACTTTAACCTGCCTCCCTCCCCCCTGTTCCCCCGCCCTCGTATCATCAGGAATACTACAAGGCGTACTATGCCGCATTGCTACAGCAGCAACAAGCAGCGGCAGCAGCAAGTGGAGCGGATACTGCTGCCCCAAATGCTGCTGCTACCGACACTGCCACAGCGACAGCTACTCCTACTGCTGTCGCTCCTGCTGACACAGCAGCACCCGGGGAGGGAGACGAGGAGGAGGATGTGACATGGGAAGAGGGGGACGCAGGAGCATATGCCACCCCTCCTGCTCCTGCTACTGCTCTCCCTTTCAACACGAGTCAAGCTCTCCCCACTACGCCTATAGCAGCAGCAATTCAGGAGGAGGATGAGGAAGCGGATTATGAGTGGGAGGATGGGGATGGAGGGGATGGTGGGGTGGGGGGGAGCGGGGGGGAGGGTGGAGGGGAGCGGGGTGCGGGAGGTGTGAGTAGAGGGGCGGGGAGTGGGGGTGGAACAGGGGATGGGGCTGGTGTTGTGGTTACCCCGGAACAGGTGGGGGTAGGAGAGGCTGAGGGTGAGGAAGATGAGGATATCGAATGGGACGAGTGATAGAGTGGGAGTAGTTGCTTCGCTACAGTAGTACATTATGGTTTAGGAGATGTGTACAATAATAAAGTTCAAAAGTCAGGGTTTAGGGTGGGAGGGGGGAGGGAGGGGGTGTGGTCTGGACCAGCATTGGCCAGGCAAATGGTAGCATATTCAGTCCATCAGTATCGTCAGAATCAGACGCACGGTGGGCTTTCAGTATCACCGGGTCCAGGTTCTGATATACCACAGACAGGGGAGCATGTTTTTGGATGAGAAATGTTAGCGGGTCTTATGAACAAGGCAATTTCTTCGAGGCAGAATGTTACCGCAGCAGGTCTCTTCTCATCATGCTCACATACATGGCAAGCCAAGCTATGTGCTGTGTTGGGGTTCGATTATGTTTTTGCTGTGCAATAACATAACATATCTCTATTACACGCATTGGCTATCATTACAACTACAGTGGCAGATATATGGTAGGCTTTACACCTCCTGAAAACACACATGTAAGGATCCAGGCAATTAAAGCCCGCTCTTTGTTGTACCCAGCACGAGAGGCTCGAAAGGCAGCTTATTCCTGTTATGTGGCTCTGAATAATCAATATTACGGCCAATCGGGCAGATGGCGAAAGGATTCAGGGCGTTCGGGCTGCAGAAAAACTTTTTGCGGATGTGAACCATGTCCACAGTGCTGGCGATCCCAGGCAGCTGGAAAATTTCCTTGGTGTAGTTGAAAAGATTTGGGTACTCCTGGATCATCCTCTTGTTACAGTTGAAGTGACCGTAATACACCTGGAAAAGAGGGAAACATGCAACACCGGGCAAAAGCAAGGAAACTTGGCAGATTAGTACAACAAAATCTCCACGGAGCAGCAAGCACCATTGCGATCGTGAGGACAATCGGTAAGAGAGGATTGTACTGATAGCTGACAGCAAGATGTGAAGAGAAAGTATCTATTATGTCAGGGGTGAACATACCTCATCAAATCGAATCAGATCCACAAACAGCCGGATGTCTGCCTCTGTGACCGCGTCCCCTGCCATGTAGCGCTGCTTTGAAAGGATGTCCTCACAGCGATCCAAGGCTGAGAAGAGGGTTGCTACGGCCTGGAGTGGTGGGGAGGAGAGAGGAAGAGAGATGAGGGATGAGGAGAGGGGAAAGAGAGGGTGTGATCCTCTGTGAAGGCGTCTCCTGCGTGTAGCGCTGGCGAGACAAGATGTCTTCACAGCGATCCAAGGCTGAGAAGAGGGTTGCCACGGCCTGGTGCGGGGGTAGGAGAGAGGAAGAGAGATGAGGAGAAGGGAAAGAGAGGATGTCAGTTTCTGTGAAGGCCTCTCCTGCCATGTAGCGCAGCGAGATAAGGCGTCCTCACGGCGATCCAGAGCTATGGCCTGGCGTGGAGTAAGAAGGGGAGTGAAGAGAAGGAGAGGTGGGGAGAGGTGGGGAGAGGTGGGGAGAGGTGTGAAAGGTGTGTCTCCCTCTGTGCAGGCATCTCGTGCCATGTAGTGCTGGCAAGATAAGGCGTCCTCACAGCGATCCAGAGCTGAGAACCAGGTTGCTATGGCCTGGTGTGGGGGAGAAATTGATAGAATAAGAGAGATGAGTTTTGAGACGTCTCAAAAAGGGAGAAATTGGTAGAATAAGAGAGATGAGTTTTGAGACGTCTCAAAAAGGGAGAAATTGGTAGAATAAGAGAGATGAGTTTTGAGACGTCTCAAAAAGGGAGAAATTGGTAGAATAAGAGAGATGAGAGATGAGAGATGAGGAGAGGGGAATGATAGGGTGTGAGTGAGCCTCACTAAACGAGTTTTCTGATATGTGTCGCTGGCGGGCGGGATTTTCAGGCGCCTCAAAATTCAACTGATATGTATCGCTGGCGGGCGGGACAAAATGCATCCCTTCCCATCGCATCATAAGCCACTTGCTCCGTGATTGAAGAAGTGTTTTGAGACGTCTCAATCACGGAGCCACTTGCTCCTCCGTAAATCCACATTTGATCACGCCGCTGTTGATGGCCGGCCCAACCCACTCGCTCACCCACCTTCCTCACCCTCTCTCCCAGCACCCACTCTAACCCCTTCTCACCACATCATAAGCTGCTTGCTCCTTGGCAAATCCACATCTGAACACGCCGCTGTTGATCGCCGGCCCAACCCACTCGTTCACCCCATCGATAGCCCCCCGCATGGCAGAAGGATAGAGGTCCACGTGGGGGTTGGCGGCCACGGCATTGAATTCGGAGTTGAGCATTCGCATGATCTCCGCACTCTCGTTGTTCACTATCGTGCCAGATTTCTTGTCAAACAGAATCTGGAGGGAGGAGTGAAAAGAAGGGAAAGAACAGGGAGGGACTTTTGAGATTTCTGAAAATCCAGGGAGGGTAACAGAGCTCAGCGGAGGTCCGTAGAGGATTATTGAGGCGCCTCAAAAACAGCCAGGGAGGGTAACAGAGCCACGTGACATAAGTGTAGTTCTGAGACGTCTCAAAACTACACTTACTCAGTTGAGGTTTGCAGAATATTTTTTAGGCGCCGCAAAATAAGCCAGGGAGGGTAATAGAGCTCAGTGGAGGTCTGTAGAGGTCCACGTGGGGATTGACAGCTATAGCATTCAATTCCATGTTGAGCTTTCGCATGATCTCCGCACTTTCGTTGTTCAGTTTGGTGCAAGTCTGCTTGTGTGTGTTCTTCTGCTGTGCATACCGGCACCGAGAACGTTTTAAACGAAGGATCCAATTTCTCGTAGATATCGCGGGCAAAGTGTACACACTGTACATACGATGTATGTTGCACTGTACATACGGGCACAGAAAAGGTCTTGTATGAAGGATCTATTTTCTCGTATATGTCGCGGACGAAACGAGCACCAAAAATCGGATCAGGTTGCGCCCCCGGCTCCTCCGCGTCCCCCTCCGCGGACGGAAACGCCCATCCGAAATGCTCCTCCCCCTCGCGCGTTCTCACCCACGTTGGGTTCAGCACCTGCCACGTCAGCAGGGTTGGAGTGGGGGAAAAGAGAGGACATGTGGGAAGGCTGTACTCCATATAAGACTACAACCTGCCATATTTACGAGCGGAAGAGCACACAGTCACACCAGTCACATAAGAATAAGCACCCCTGCGTACAGTCACACCATAATCACCCCCACGTACAGTCACGGAGATGGCGTCGTCGAGTCCTTGGAGTTTGAGAACCATGAAGTTTGGCATCATGGTAATGCTTGAAGAGAATGTGCTTATAACGGGAACTGCTTACAGTAACAGAGATGGCGTCGTCGAGTCCTTTAAGCTTGAGCGCCATGAGGCACCGCGACGCCCAGGGGCAGGCGTAGCTCACGTACAGGTGGTACCTGGGGGGGGTTAGGAGCGGGGGAGGTGGGAGGAGAGGGGAGGGATTAGGTATAAGGAGCCAACCAGGCACGCCCAGGGGTAGGCGTTGCGTAGCTCACGTACAGGTGGTACCTGGGGGGGGTGGGGAGAGAAGGTCGAGGGGGGAAGGTGGGGAAGGGAGGGGTAGTGAGGAGGGTGATGAGGAGTAGATGTGTCGCACGAGCAGAGGGATAGAGAGGGAGAGGGGAGGGAGGAGGTGGGGGAAGTGGGTGGGGGGATGGAAGGGGGGGGGAGAGGGGGCGGAGGGGAGGAAAGGGGTGGCGGGCGGAGAGATTGGGGGAAGGTGGGCAGATTATAATCAAAGGAGTCTCACCTAATACTCACGGTGTCATCTCACCTTCCGCTTTCCGCCGGGAATCCGCTCGAGCCGTCCGCCGTTACATGCTGGCGGAACGGAACCGCCACCGCGGAAGGCGGAGCGCCTGGTGATGCCGACGCCGCGGCGGCAGTCACGACGGGCGGCATTCTGACTGCTGCTGAAGCGCGGACGGTCGGACCGGAACCTTGTTTGGGACACCCGCGTGCTACTATCAAGGATGTAGTGTATCGAGTAATAGGGTGGTTGCTGCCAAGAAAAGTGGAAGGTTGGCGAGAGAACGGAGAGGAGAGGAGGAGCGTGGGTGAGTTTGGGAGGACGAGGAGACGGCGTGCGCACGACTGAAGGAGCACCGACGGCATTAACGCTGCTCTGCTCTGCTCTGCTCTTCTCTGCTGTAAGTTGATCTGCTGTGCTTCGCTGCGCTGCTCTGCTCTGCGAGCTGCGCGGCTCTATCGTTCGCTTGGCGGTAGTAGTACTAGCAGTAGTGGAGCAAACCAGCAAGACGATGCTGAAATGGGACGCTCAGGAAACTCCAGAATCGTTCAACAAATAAGGTCGACTGGGGGAGCTTATGAAGCAGTGCAGTAGTAAGTAAGCTGCTGGCAATCGCAATCGCAAAATGCGGAAGCTCTTCTGGAACCGTGTCGCGCTGCCGGTCCCTTCCATACCCATTTCCCTCGATCCCTCCGCAAAACCTGGATCTCCCATCGTTTGATTGTTTCAGCCTGCCCGGCTGAGCAGCACATCGCTAAAAGTTTCACAACCCCAGCCCTCACTGAAACAGTACGCGTGCGAAGCGAATAGACTACACACCCTAGGGAGTAGGGAGGCATTGCCGCAGAGTACTGGTTGCTAGCCTTCGATGCCGCACGAAATGCGTTGCTGCCCGCCGAAAGAAAGGAAGGTCTCATCGTAAACACAGAACCAGCCACCCGACCAATCATGGAGCTACGACGCGGATCTGAAGATTGACAGACGTCGAACGCTCGGTGGTTTGAAGGCTCCGGTACTTGTTGCGATTGGGGAATCTATGACACGCTGGCAACGCGATTAGGTCAGGTCGTGCTAGTCAGAAGAGTTAATTTCCTCCGTAGCTTCGCCAGTCCAGGGAAGGAGCTAGCGAAATTGCGCCAGTCCAACCTCTTACTCATTGCATGTAGCTTCGTAAAAATAAAACCGACTGCACTCCATATAAACAAACCACTTCGTTACTTGTGAATGGCTTTCCTGTTTCGATATGGCCAGATACGCTTATCGAAGCTAATGAATTGGTACAGCAGTTCCGAGAAGCTACGAATCTCCGAGCAGCTTCTCGGAATTGTCCCTTCCTCCGTTGGGTGGTTCGAGAACCACGTAGCCAAGCGAACGGTGGTTACACAAATTTACGCACATGCAACCACTCCCTGCAACCCCTCAGCTCTGCGAACGAGGATTGCAGCTTTTCGCCTACGATACAGGCTCTTCGCACGTCGAAATTACCTTCGCGCGTTTCGCACAGATCATGCTTTCGTCCGGTACTGGTCACCTGCAAATCCCGCAGTTATAAATTCGCTTCGTGGCAAAATAACTGTCACAATTTAATATTTAGGCTTCATGCTTGCGCCTGGCCTCCTCTTCTTGCTTCTCGCACCGCTTCCTCTTCACCGTCTCCTCGGGGTCCCGGTTCTTCTCATCGTTTTTGTCTTGACAGTCTCCCAGTAATTCCCTGAGAGAACAGGCAGAAAGCGCGGGTAAGGCTAGTGGGAAGTAAGGCTAGTGGCAAGAACGCGTTTCGTTTCCTTCTTCGTCTTCCTTCTCTCCTCTGCAATTGCGTAAACCAGCCGAAACCAGCCATGGCGGCTGTTGCGTCGTCAGCCCTTCGCCTGCCGCTGTCTGCGCTTCGCGCCGCCTCCGTCCCGGTCAAAATTCTTGCTGAGCACCGCTCTTCGCGTTCGCCTGATTTTCTTATTACTTTTGCTACCGCCTCTGAACCCTGCAGTCTCCAGCAGTTTCGATCGCCCTCTAAGAGCGTGTGTAACTCGACGGTCTCACCAGCTCCGAGATTTGCGAGAACTGCGAGATTTGCGAACTTCGCGAGTGGCGACCGGGTGACCGTCGACGCAAACAAGTTCCTCTTCCAACAATCTTCGCTGTCACAGCAGCACCAGCCTGCCAGTCGTCGCTCGTTCGTTCGACAAGCCGCCACGTCAGCAGATCCCGCCACGTCAGCGGATACCGCCACGTCAAAAGCAGCGCCCGTTATGGTGCAGACGACGCTTCAGGAGTCGAGCGCGGACGGCGCGTTCAAGCGCACGCCCTCCGCCTTCCGCAGCCTTATTACCGCGGATGGGTCGAGCGGATTCCCCGCCGTCGCTGGCAGGTACGCTTGTACGGGTTGTTTTTTTACATTTTTTAAGTAGATTGATGCTTTATAACGCGGAGACGGCGCGTTCTGGCGGCGCACGCCCTCCGCCTTCCGCAGCCTCATCACCGCGGATGGGTGGAGCGGATTCCCCGCCGTCGCTGGCAGGTGTGTAATCGGATAGGTGGTCTGATCTCAGGCGTTCAAGAGCACGCGCTCACGATTTTCTTACCCCCGACTTTTCACCGCCCCGGTACCACCTGCACGTGAGCTATGCCTGCCCCTGGGCGTGCCTGGTTGGCTCCTTATACTTAATCCCTCCCCTCTCCCCCCACCTCCCCCACCTCCCCCCCCTTCCAACCGCCCCCAGGTACCACCTGTACGTGAGCTACGCCTGCCCCTGGGCGTGCCGCTGCCTCATGGCGCTCAAGCTTAAAGGACTCGATGACGCCATCTCCGTCACTGTAAGCAACACCCGCTATAGCCACTTCCGCTATAAGCAGTATAAGTGTTGCAGTGACTTAACGAACATGAATGTGCCTCATGGCGCTCATGCTCAAAGGGCTCCAACATGCCATCTCCGTGACTGTAAGAAGCAATACCCGCTATAAGCACATTCTTTACAAGCATTCATGTGTTGCTAATCCCATGGCGCTCAAGCTCTAGGGGCTCGACGACGCCATCTCCGTTACTGTAGGCAGGCAGAGGTGGCAGGAGCGGAGAGCAGAGACAGTGCCACCCGAAAGAAGAGTGTTTTTGAGATGTCTCAAAAACATCTTCTTTCAGAGGTGGCAGGCGCAGAGGTGGCAGGAGCGGAGAGCAGAGACAGAGCCACCCTGCTAATCTCCCCCGCACTCCTGCTCTCCTTCTCTTTCTCTCGCTACAGGTGCTGGAGCTGGTGTGGCGGCGCACGAGGGAGGGCGAGGAGCACATTGGCTGGCCCTTCGTGGCGGTCACGGAGAGTGACCCTCGTTTCTCCTCTCCCTCCCTCGCCCTGCCTCCCTATCCTCCTTCTACTCTGAACCCAAAACTAATGCTCTTTCAGATAGTAGAGCCGGTGTGGCGGCGCATGAGGGAGGGCGACAACCACATTGGCTGGCCCTTCGTGGCGCCAGGGGGAGAGGCGGAGGTGGCAGGGGGAGAGACAGAGTGACCCTCATTCCCCCTTCCCCTGCCGTCATTCTCCCCTCCTCCCACTCTACAGGTAGTAGAGCCGGTGTGGCAGCGCACGAGGGAGGGCGATGAGCACATTGGCTGGCCCTTCGTGGCTCCAGGAGGCACGCCGGAGGTGGCAGGGGGAGAGAGCGACCCTCATTCCACCTTCCCCTGCTTCCCATTCTCCCCTCCTCCCACTCTACAGATAGTAGAGCCGGTTTGGCAGCGCACGAGGGAGGGCGACGAGCACATTGGATGGCCCTTCGTGGCTCCAGGGGGCACGCCGGAGGTGGCAGGGGCGGAGAGCGACCCTCTCAACGGAGCTCTCTTCCTGAGGGACGTGTACGAGAAAGCAGACCCTGGTGCTGTCAAGTTCAGCGTGCCTGTGAGTGAGTCACTGGGAGTGTGTACGGGACGACTGGGACTGTAAGCAGTAAGAGCAGAGAGAAGAGAGAAGAGAGCAGAGAGCAGAGAGCAGAGAGCAGAGAGCAGAGAGAAGAGAGCAGAGAGAAGAGAGCAGAGAGCAGAGAGCAGAGAGCAGAGAGCGACCCTCTGAATGGAGCTCTCTTCCTGAGGGACGGTTACGAGAAAGCAGACCCCGGTGCTGTCAAGTTCAGCGTTCCTGTGACTGCTTGGAGCGGGTGTATGTGTGTAAGAGCAGAGAGCAGAGAGCGACCCTCTCAACGGAGCTCTCTTCCTGAGAGACGTGAATGAAAAGGCGGACCCCTGTGCCACCATCAGGTTCATCGTGCCTGTGAGTGATGGGGGCTCCTCTGTCTGTGCCTGGTTCAGGGCCTGGTGTGGGTGTACTTAGGGGGGGAGGCGGAGGTGGCAGAGAGCAGAGAGCGACCCTTTGAACGGACCTCTGAGGTGGCAGAGAGCAGAGAGCGACCCTTTGAACGGACCTCTGAGGTGGCAGAGAACAGAGAGCGACCCTTTGAACGGACCTCTGAGGTGGCAGAGAGCAGAGAGCGACCCTTTGAACGGACCTCTGAGGTGGCAGAGAGCAGAGAGCGACCCTTTGAACGGACCTCTGAGGTGGCAGAGAGCAGAGAGCGACCCTTTGAACGGACCTCTGAGGTGGCAGAGAGCAGAGAGCGACCCTTTGAACGGACCTCTGAGGTGGCAGAGAGAAGAGAGCGACCCTTTGAACGGACCTCTCTTCCTCAGGGATGTGTATGAGAAGGTGGACCCCTGTGCCGTCAAGTTTGTCGTGCCTGTGAGTGGGTCACTGGGTGTGTACAGACTTTTGAGGCGCCTCAAAAGTGGACCCCTGTGCCGTCAAGTTCATTGTGCCTGTGAGTGGTGGGAGTGTGTGCCACTGGTGGTCTGTGAGTGTGTATGTGATGAGGCGTTTTTTGAGTCGACTGGGATGCCTGCGAGATCATGCGGATGCTCGACTCGGCTCTATAGAGTTTCCTTTTTTTTCTTGTTCTCCTCTTCTCCCTCTCTCCCTTGCAGGTGCTGTGGGACAAGGAGACCAGCACCATAGTGAATCGATTTTTGAGTCGACTCAAAAATCGACTCACTACACGCAAAAATCGATTTTGAGTCGACTCAAAAATCGGCACCATAGTGAACAATGAGAGCAGCGAGATCACGAGGAAGCTCAAATCAGCTCTCAAGGCCGCCTTCTGTTTCTTGTTCACCTGTTCTCCCTTGCCCACCTCAGGTGCTGTGGGACAAGGAGACCAGCACCATAGTGAACAATGAGAGCAGCGAGATCATGAGAATGTTCAACTCGGAGTTCAACGCCATTGCGAAGCACCCTCAGGTGAGTGTAGCAGTGTGAGCTGACTTTTGAGTCAACTCGAGTCAACGAGAGCAGCGAGATCATGCGGATGTTCAACTCGGAGTTCAACGCCATCGCGAAGCACCCTCAGGTGAATCCAGCATTACCAGGTGAATCGTCAGGTGGATTTCAGAATTGTTAGATGAATTCAGCACCGTTCGGCGATCCTTTGACCGTCAGATGAGTTGTCCGGTGAGTGAGGTGTTCCAACGCCTGACCCCGTCAGATGAGCAACGAGACCCCATCAGATGAGCAACGAGACCCCATCAGATGAGCAACGAGACCCCATCAGATGAGCAACGAGACCCCGTCAGATGAGCAACGAGACCCCGTAGTGATAAAGCACTGTTTTTGTGAATTCACAACCCAACCCAAATTTCGCCTCTCACAACCAACCCAGGACATTCCGTTCTCGTCAACCCAACCAGACCTCTCCCACATGTGATCCTCTTCTCTCTCCTTCTCTCCTCTTCTCTCCCCTCTTCTCTCTCCTCTTCTCTCTCCTTCTCTCCTCTTCTCTCCCCTCTTCTCTCTCCTCTTGTCTCTCTTCTCTCTCCTCTTCTCTCCCCTCTTCTCTCTCCTCTTCTCTCTCCTTCTCTCCTCTTCTCTCCCCTCTTCTCTCTCCTCTTCTCTCTCCTCTTCTCTCATCTTCTCTCTCCTCTTCTCTCTCCTTCTCTCTCCTCTTCTCTCTCCTTCTCTCCTCTTCTCTCCCCTCTTCTCTCTCCTCTTCTCTCTCCTCTTCTCTCTCCTCTTCTCTCCCCTCTTCTCTCTCCTCTTCTCTCTCCTCTTCTCTCTCCTCTTCTCTCTCTTCTTCTCTCTCCTCTTCTCTCCTTCTCTCTCCTCTTCTCTCTCCTTCTCTCCTCTTCTCTCTCCTCTTCTCTCTCCTCTTCTCTCTCCTCTTCTCTCTCCTCTTCTCTCTCCTCTTCTCTCTCCTCTTCTCTCTCTTCTTCTCTCTCCTCTTCTCTCTCCTCTTATCTCTCCTCTTCTCTCTCCTCTTCTCTCTCCTCTTCTCTCTCCTCTTATCTCTCCTCTTTTCTCTCATCTTCTCTCCCCTCTTCTCTCCCCTCTTCTCTCTCCTCTTCTCTCTCCTCTTCTCTCTCCTCTTCTCTCTCCTCTTCTCTCTCCTCTTCTCTCTCCTCTTCTCTCTCCTCTTCTCTCTCCTCTTCTCTCTCCTCTTCTCTCTCCTCTTCTCTCTCCTCTTCTCTCTCCTCTTCTCTCTCCTCTTATCTCTCCTCTTCTCTCTCCTCTTCTCTCTCCTCTTCTCTCTCATCTTCTCTCTCCTCTTCTCTCTCCACTTCTCTCTCCTCTTCCCTCTCATCTTCTCTCTCCTCTTCCCCGTCCTCTCCTCCCACCCTCGTCTGCTCACATCCCCACGCCAGGTGGACATATATCCGCCCCACCTCCGAGTGGCAATCGACGAGGTGAACGAGTGGGTGTATCCTGCAATCAACAACGGCGTGTATCGCTGCGGCTTTGCCAAGAAGCAAGGCCCGTACGAGGAGGTGAGTGTTTGGGTTGAAGGGAAGAAACAGGTGGGTGGGTGGGTCCCCCTGTGGGTGGGTCCCTTGGCAAGTAATGCCACCTCCCTACTCCACAGGCTCTACATTGGTTCAGACGATTACATTGCGGCCCATCGCGATTCATTGCAGTTCGTGTATTTTCCTCTCTTCTCCCCCTTGACTTTCTACTCCCAGGGATTCAATAAGCTATTTTCCACTCTCGATTGCTCTGCGGCTATCCTTTCAAAGCAGCGTTACATGGCACGAGATGCTTTCACATTTCTCTCTGCTTTCTCCCCCTTGATCTCCCATCCCACTCCCAGGCATTCAAGGAGCTATCCGCTGCTCTGGATCACTGTGAGGACATCCTTTCAAAGCATCGCTTCATGGCAGGAGACTCTTTCACAGAGGCAGAAATCTGCCAACTTTACACCCTGCCGATTCCTTTTCCCCCTCGACTTTCTAATTCCAGGCATTCAAGGAGCTCTTTGCCGCTCTCGATCGCTGTGAAGACATCTTGTCTCGCCAGCGCTACGTAGCAAGAGGCACCTTAACAAGCCTCTCTGCTTGCTCCCCCTTTGTCTCCTGCCCGCTCCCAGGCATTCAAGGAGCTCTTTGCTGCGCTCGATCGCTGTGAGGACATTCTTTAGCGCTACATTGCAAGAGACACTTTCACACGCCTCTCTGCATTGCAAGAGACACTTTCACACGCCTCTCTGCTTGCTCCCTATTCGTTCCCCCAACCCACTCCCAGGCGTTAAAGCAGCTCTTCGCTGCTCTGGATCACTGTGAGGACATTCTTTCAAAGCAGCGCTACACGGACGGCAGGAGATGCCTTCACAAAGCTCTCTGCTCATTACACCCCTCAATCTCCCACTCCCGCTCCCAGGCATTCAAGGAGCTCTTTGCTGCTCTGGATCGCTGTGAGGACATCTTGTCCCGCCAGCGCTACATGGCAGGAGACACGTTCACAGAGGCAGACATTCGCCTGTTTGTCACTCTCATTCGATTCGACGAGGTACGCCTAAGTAACTCCTGCGCATTGTAAGGTGTACCTTTGAAAACGGCCGTAATTTCCTCTTTCTCGTCACAATGCTGAGCATATTTTAGTAGCCTTTGTAACCCAGGTCCGTTCCTGGTATTACTACCATCTTGACTGACTTAGTTCACTCCCCTGCAAAAAACTTCCGTATTATCCTGACTCTTACAACATCACATGCACACACACCCACACACACACACACGCACACACACATACGCACGCACTCACACACACACACGCACACACACACAGGCACACCTGAACACAAATCTCCACCACCCCACTCACACACACCCTCCTCTTTCCCTTTCCCCCACCCCCCAACATACACGCCCTACAGGTGTACGTGGTTCATTTCAAGTGTAACCGCAATTTCATCCGCGAATTCCCCAACCTCTTCAACTACACCAAGGAAATCTACCAGCTGCCCGGAATAGCCTCTACAGTGAACATGGCGCATATCAAAGCGCACTATTTCCGAAGCCACCCTTCCATCAACCCCTTCGGAATAATCCCTATGGGACAGGGTATTGATTACACTGCGCCGCATGATAGGGACAGGCTGCCCGGTGTTGCTCTGCCTTGTGGAAAGGAGTGAGTGGTGCAATTGATCGTGTTCCAATTTACTGGTCATTCAGTAATAGAGAAAGGGTCATATTCATTCCATGATCTTTGCACATCAAGTCGCACCATATCTGAAACCACCCTTCAATCCACCCCTTAGGCATCATTCCTATAGGTCAGGTTATTGATTACACTGCGCCGCGCGCGATAGGGACAGGCTGCCTGGTGTTGCTCTGCCTTGTGGGAAGGAGAGAGTGGTGCAATTGACCAATGTTACAATGTATTTTAAGGTATATAGAAAAAGGACCAGAGCCGTTACATAGTTGCCGCATATCAAATCCCATTGGTATTTCTGAAGCCCCTCTTCCATCAACCCCTGTTTTGGATCGTTTCCGTGAGCCAGGGTACTGTTCATACTGCTCCCCATGATAGGGATAGGCTGCCTGGTGTTGCTCTGCCTTGTGGGAAAATGTGAGCAGCTACATAGGTACGACTATGGACAAAAGATCTCAAAGCTGTATGGACACACTCGTAGCACGTGCTATGCAGGCGGTTTGTAGTACCGTAGTTGGATAGCTAGAGGGGCTGTTTGGCAGGGATGAAAGGGGTGTCAAGGGTTGGTCTGCTGTAGCACGTGCCTTGGCACTTACGAGGTTGAAAGGTAATGAAAATTGGACGACGCCGTAGAGAGATATCAAGGACTAGCAGAGGAAATAGGAGCAAAAGGGAAAAAAATCACTACAAAGGCAAAAAGGGGTGTTGCGAGAATCGAACTCGCGGCCTCTCGCACCCAAAGCGAGAATCATACCACTAGACCAAACACCCATGGGTCCCATCATCAAATAGAATTAAATATTAAATTTTAAAATTTCGGTTTTGGTCCTCACAGGAAAAGCAGCTTTATTTCCTGCAGCGTCGCTGGCGGCGTCGCCTGCAGTGTCGCCCGCAGTGTCGTCCGCAGTGTCGCTCGCAGTGTCGTCCGTAGAGTCGCGCGCATTGGTTCCCGCAGTGTCGCCTAAAACCACCCATGTGAGCCACAGCTGGGCGTTCTCGGTGCCCCGTCAACAGCGGCGCCAACTGCGGCGCCATCTGCTGCGTTTCCTTACCTACCCTTTTCCAGGTACGATTGAGCCCCCGCGAAATGCGGGAAGGCGCTTTCTCTCCGCAGCTCATCCCCCTGCTCTCCCCAATACCCTGTCCCCTCTCCCCTTTTCCCAATCCCCTCCCCCTTTACCCCCCTTCATCCAATCCCCTCTCCTCTTATAATCAATCCCCTCTCCTTTCCTACCCAAACCCCTCTTCCCCCTATCCATTCCCCTCCCTCCCTCCTATCCAGTACCCCTCTTCTCCCTACCCATCCATTTCTCCCCCCATATTCCCCATTAACCACTCCCCTATGTACCCTACCCAATACCTACCCCTCCTCCAAAATCTCCTCTCCCCCACTTCCCAAACCCCTCTCCCCTTTCCTTAACCCCGCTCCCACCCCCTGCCAACATGCTGCTGGTGGATCAGGCATGCCCACGTGGGGAGAGAGAGAGGCCCACGTGGGGAGAGAGAGGCCCACGTGGGGAGAGAAGCGCGCTTCTGTCTCAGTTATATTTTCTGTCCTTCACTTGTCATTCTCCTATTCCCTGGGGCAAGAAAAGCGCGCTTCTTCAGTCTCAGCTACCTTTCTGTCCTTCCCTTCTCATTCTCCACGTCCTCTCAGCATTCCAACGCATAAATGGAGTTCTGCCCCACGTGCGCCAACATGCTCCTGGTGGAGCAGGCACACATGGGGCGAGAGACCAACCCCCCATATCTCCCTCCTCCCGTCTCTTCTTATCAGCAGCAGCACTAAATGGAGTTCTGCCCCACTTGTGCCAACATGCTGCTGGTGGAGCAGGCCCACATGGGGCGAGAGGCGAGGTTCTTCTGTCAGACGTGCCCCTATGTGTATGGCATCACCAGGAAGGTGAGTTGAATTCAATACAGTCAATGCTAGTCATCGCCAGTCAATGGCTTGGTTCTTCTGTCAGACGTGCCCCTGTCTATGGCATCACCAGGAAGGTGAGCCATTGCAGTCAACGTAGGTCAATGCTAGTCAATGCATCACGCGAAGGGTGAGAGTGTTGCCAGTCAATGCTAGTCAACGCCGGCCAATGATGACTTTTGAGACGTCTCGAAAGGTTCTGTGTTTATCGCAAGAGCTGTACGTCCGCCCCCCAATAGCCTCCCTCCCCCACTCCCCACTCCCTACACTCCTCGTGACTAAGGGCATGTTCCTACGGCCCCTTATCAAGGCAACCTCTTATCAGGCTCGCGTCAGAACACACTGAAAGTTTCCTAAACCCAAAAAACTTAGCGAATTTTATCAGGCAAGCCTGACAAGGGGTTTGCCTGATAAGAGTGTAGGAACATGCCCTAACCCGACCCCCCCCCCCCCCCTCCCCTCCCGTGCACAATGCAGATTTCAAGGCGGCAACTGGTGGTGCAAAAGGAGGTGGATGATGTGTTGGGAGGGGAGGACGCATGGAAAAATGTCGACAAAACCGAAGGTGCGCATTCAGAAAAATTTAGAACTTTTAAATGAATGCATGGGAGAGAACTTGCGAGCTTTTTGTGTTCTGTTGTATTGTTGGTAGATGCAATATCCCCCCCCCCCCCCCCCACGGTGGTTTTGCTTGCAGCGTCATGTCCCAAGTGTGGTCATTCGCAAGCTTTTTTCATGCAAATCCAAACCCGATCGGCTGATGAGCCCATGACAATATTTTACAAGTGCTGTAACATGAGGTGTGGCTATAGATGGAAAGAGGGTTAGCTACTGTTTTACTTTTCAGCATTTAAAGTGTATGTACACCATCGTGTTACGTAGTGGATAACGAAGAATCTCAATGGGTGCCTCCATTTTCCGAGATTCACGGATGCTTGAAACTTCTGGCCAATCAATCACGCCCCTCGAAAGATTATGATATTTGTGCGAACCCGGCCGCCCATGCGAATTTTTCGCCAACAAGCTCGGTGATGCGCGAACTACCCCCTGAACACCCCAGTTGCGAATTTGGCGAAATACCTGCGTCCGCACGGAAATCAGGTGTGGCATCTGCACACCAACACTCCCCAAGCCAATATTGCCGAGCCTTATCCAAACCTCCACGAACCATTGAATGCAAGCCAAACCAGAACGAATCCATTGTTCCTAATTTGTCGTGAGATGTCAAACCAGCCTCTCCACGTTTCGTTACCGTCCGAACCTCAGCCATGTCGCTTTCATTGGTGTTTACGCCTTTCCCCAAACTTTCGCCTGTAAGTTCGCCCCTACCTGCGCCTCGGCAATCCCTTGGCGGCAGTGAAGGCAGGCAAGCGAGAGTGTTGGTTGGACACTCGACGCAACACATCCATCCACCCATTGCAATGACATTCACCCACCTTGTTTCCGCCCATACCTGCCTGCTCTCCTCCATTCTCATCCACACCACACCCCTCAATCCTTCACATCCCAGCACCCCTGAAATTCTTGCCAGCCCAGCTCAAGGTCGCTGTGCCCCTTCAATTGCGGTAGTAGAATCTCTTCCACACACAGGGTCTGTTCACCCTGCCGCATTTTCTTCCATCGGCTCAAAGCTCCCTGAGGCCCCATTGCTGCGGAGCTCAGTCATCTTGTCGGGTCAAGGTCCGCGGTTGCAGCCTAATCCCCCCTCAAATCTCGCGGTGATATTTTCGCCGGGTCTCTTTTCGCAGTCACCCGCGCATCGCGCAGCGCATTGCACGCGGGCGGAAACATGGCGCGCGCGCGCGGATCTGCGCATATTCAAGGGCTATTCGTTCTCCTCGTGCTTCTCGTCGCCCCATCCGTAGGCAAGTCGCCGCCGCCTCCGCCCCACAGCCCCCCCCCGCCCCACAAGCCCCCCCCGCCCCACAAGCCCCCCCCTCCCCACAAGGCCTCCCCTCCCCCCGACGCATCCCCTCCAACCGGCGCCTCCCCACCAACCAAGGCCTCCCCGCCCCCTCCTCCCCCAGTCGCGGCACCCGCTCCGGAGCCAACTCTGTCCCCCTCCCCAACGCCCGCGCCATCCCCAACGCCCGCGCCATCCCCAACGCCCGCGCCATCCCCAACGCCCGCGCCTTCCCCAACGCCCGCGCCTTCCCCAACGCCCGCGCCCTCACCGACGCCCGCGCCCGCGTTCGTCGATTCACCCGTCGCTCCACCCATCGCTCCGCCCATCCCTCCCCCTGTCCCCGCCCCGCAACCCGCGCCCGCGCCTGCCCCCACTCCATCCTTACCCCCCGTTCCCCCGCCGACGCCATCCCCGGAGATCTCCCCGCCCACACCGCCCCCCGTGATCTCTCCGGCTACACCGCCCCCGGAGATCTCTCCGGCCGCGCCACCCCCAGTTGACGCTCCAGCTCCTCCGCCGGTAGGGGGAAAACCTCCGCCCAAATTCCCCCCAGTGGATTCCGCCCCCCCGTCGGAGGCAGGGGGGACGTATCAGGACAACTTTCCGGGGGACCAGTATATTCCGCCGGATGACTTCGCATCTCCGCCGTTCAGTGTTGCGCAATCGCTGACTCCGCCCGCGCCGCAGCTGCCGCCACCCCCGCCGACCCCTGCGCCGCCCGCGCCGTCGAGCGGACCGAGCACCGGAGTGATCGTGGGGACGGTGATCGGAGTGATTCTGGGAGTTGGCGCTCTGTCGTTCGGGATTTGGATCTGCGTGCAACGCTCGCGAAACGCCGCTCGCGCGGCTGGGCGCGGCGGTTACGGCGACGTGAATTTGTAACTCGTTTCTTGTTTCGCTGAGACTTCGCGGCGGTGTCGCGGATCAAGAGGTCTTCGTTATAAGCCGATTCGCTGGATCCAATGTACTCGCATCAGCGATCGGAAGAACAGTGAGTTGCAGTATGGTTACAGCAGGATTGGGAGTTCGTTTCGGAAATGAAGCGGCTTGAGATCTGCTTGTAACGAGTAGATTCGTTAGGATTTTGCCAACATTTCAATAGCTGGTTTGAGACCTTTCAAGTGATTGTCATTCTCCATGTCCCCGTTGAGCAAGCATTTGAGTGTTACAGAAATTACCAAAGGCTAACTAACGGCACGGAACGAGTCAACCCATGGCAATCTGAGATCGGCAACCATTGTTCCATCCCTTGGACTGTCCCGCCTCCCCTATCCCCACTCCCCATCCCCCTATCCCCCCACTCCCTCTTTCCCCATTCAACACACCCAATCTCCGCTCCTCCATACCCCGTTTCTTCCCATTCTCCGCGTTCCATCCCCCTTCTCTCTCGTTGTTTCCATACTCCCTCCCATCAAATCCGCTGTTCTGCTCCTCCCTCTTCCTCCCTCTCCTCCCTCGTTCTCCCCTCTTCTTACCCTCTTCCTCCCCTCTTCCTAACCCTTTCCTACCCACTTCCTTCCCTCTGCCTCCCCCAAACCTTCCCCCCTTCCTCCCCTTCCCTACCTTACCACTGCATCCCCCTTTCGCCAGCCGTCACCTTATTACCTTATTCTTCCTCCCTCCCTCCCCCCCGCCCTCCTTCCCTCCCTATCTCCGTCCCTTCTTACCTCCTAACTTGCCATCCCCCCTGCTCCCTCCCTCCCACCCCCCTCCGCCCCCCACCTCTCTCTCTCTCTCTCTCTCTCTCTCTCTCTCTCTCTCTCTCTCTCTCTCTCACACACACTCTCTCTCTCTCTCTCCCCTCCCTAGAGTTTTGCACCTTCTCCCCCTCTCATTTCCCCTCATGTCGCTTGCCACCTCCGCCTCTGATTCTTCGTTGTCACATACCCCTGCTCACTGTGTTTTTCATCCATGTGGTCTATCGCATTGTGATGAGTCTCTATGTATGGCTCTCGCACACAATGGTAAGATCAGTAAAGAGTTCGTTACCATGTAGTCGTTAAAGTGGCACTGGTATATGAAGGCAGTTTACAGTACACCGCCACCAGTTTGGAATTAACAACACATCTTATGAGAGAGACACTTACCCTAGTGTAAAACTCTACTGGCATAAAACGCCCATACTCCCTTGCGTCTCTTTTAGTCACCCAAATCATCCATGAACTTAGCACAAGCCTATCAGCATCAACAAATTACTATAATACATTGTAAACGTTAGGATTGCCAAATTGTGCAACGCTGACTGGCTAAATATAGTGCAAGTTCCAGCAAGAAAACCAGAATGAACAGATGGTACAGAATATGTCTCAACCTTCTTCCTTTCTTGGACAAGAAACACGAACTTGCTTTTTTAACTACAGCGGAGCTTCCTGTTCCGAGTTCTGGAAATATCACCTCGCTCCACCTGCGTTTGCGTGTCTTGCCACATGTGGCAAACTAACATTGGACAAAACGATCCATCGGCCCCGAAGCGCTTGACAAAGGGCGCGTCAGACGAGGTAAATCCACTCCACATGGCATTACTGTAGCACGTGGGTGTCATCGACAGCACATCAAAGCGGATATAATTTGGTTACGGGGGTCAGCAGTTCTGACCGCTTTTCACCGATTTAAAACAGTTGGAAACGAACTGAAACCCTACCACATGCAATGTAAGTATGGGGTGTGTGGGGGCGGGTCGCGCACTAGTTTTTGCCCCCAGACAAAGAAGACATTCTGGGCCTGCTGGGCTGGTGGTAGTCAACCTCTGTTACCACCACACCGTGCTTCCGTATTTCTGGAACGAAGTCTCAATAGCTGTTTCTCCAAATGTCCAGATAGACTTATATTCAAGCCCACAGTTTCTGTTGATTTATTTTTGTTCCCAAGTTTCCAACCAAAACTACTTAGTCAGCGAGTGACGCAATGAACCCGAAGCGCGCAGGCTGGAAGCGCGCCAGCCAGGGCGACTCGCTCGTGAGAGCGCTTCTCGCGTCGTTCGCCTTCTTCCTCTTCGCAGCGTTCGTCTGCCTCGTCCTCATCCTCGCTACAGGCGCATCCGTTACCATCTTCGCCGTTCCGCCCGTAATAGTCGCGAAGAAGCCGGCGGAAGCGCAAGGAGGAGGCTCCGCGGGAGGCGCAGGCGCAGCGGGGGGGGATGCGGGCGGAGCAGCAGGGGGAAGCGGGAAAGAAAACGTTCCGTTTCTGTCAGACTTTGATTTATCGAAGCCAATCGTCGGAGGGCCTGAGAGGAAGAAGCAGACGATCGAAGAGGCGGATTTCACCCATGGCGAGGCTGTTTATCAGGTGCGCTAATAACGAGTACACATGGCGAGGCTGTTCATCAGGTGCGCTCATAACGAGTACACATGGCGAGGCTGTTTATCAGGTGCGCTAATAACGAGTACACATGGCGAGGCTGTTTATAAGGAGTACAATGTCACATGTTGGTTTTCGTGGTTGTGAAGGAAGAACTCGCTATGGTGCGTCTGTAAGTGAGAAGGTGAGGCTGTGCCTTAATTTTTAGATTCCTACCGTACACAATGAGCTGAGTCTGAGTTTTGAGGTGGGTCGACATGCAAAAACGCCCTTGAATGCGCAAAAAAAACGATTAGTGGACGGTGACGCGTAACCGGGTAACACATTTCCCCCCATTCTCCCCACATTCCTACAAATGCGCTAAAAAATAAATGAAGGGAGGGTGACACGTAACAGGGTAATCCGTTTCCTCCCCCACAAGTTCCCCACATTCCCTCCCTCCCCCACCCCCCCACTCCCCTCCCGTTTCCGCACCCCCTTTCTTCCCCCCAGATGCACCTGGCGCAGCGAATCGAAATGATGGGCGGAACCAAGGTGCAACTCCCCCCACATCCCTCCCATCTCCCCCCGCCATTTCCCCCGCCTTCCCTGCAACTCTCTGCACCACTCCCCTCCCCCATTCTCCCCCCCAGATGCACCTGGCGCAGCGCAACGAAATGATGGGCGGAAGCAGGCCCAAGCCGCCCTTCCGCGGATGGAATGCGGGGAAGGTGAGGGGAGAAGGGAGGGGGAGGAAGACAAAAGGGGGGGATTTGGGTGGGAGGTGCGGGCTAACGGAGGGAAGGGGGGCGGAAGCAGGCCCAAGCCTCCCTTCCGCGGATGGAATGCGGGGAAGGTGAGAAAAAGGGGAATGGGGGCGGGGGGAGTGGTTGGCGGGGTGGAGGAGAAGGGGGTGGGGGGGTGTAAGGGTGGGGAGATAGGGAAAGCGCCTTTGAGGGAAAGGATGTGGGAAGGTGGTGCGGCTGGGGGGGTTGGGGAGGGAAATTGTGGGAGGGTTGGGATTGGGTGTATGGGGGAGGGTGGAGGTTTATTTGGGATGGGATGGGGGGAGGATTGATGGGGGGATGAGGGGAGGATGAGGGAAAGATGAGGAGAGGATGAGGGAAGGATGAGAGGAAGATTGGGGATAGGTGTTCTGTTTTGTTTTCCAATCCTTCAAAACAGATCAGAGTGGCGCAGCGGAAGCGTGGTGGGCCCATAACCCACAGGTCCGAGGATCGAAACCTCGCTCTGATATTTATCACCCCCAACAGGGCTTGCAACATTTATGCTGCACTGCACTTGTTGCTTTGATTCCCTGTACAGAATCGTAGTGCGTGGAAGGGCTTTAAGGTTGTTGTGATGTACTCTGCGCATGCATTCCCATGCACAACCATCATGGGTCTCCCACCAACGCAATCTATCCCTGAGTTCTGAATTTGGGAACCCCCATCGAATTTCGCCCCCTTTATTCATTCCTTTAGAAGCACTATACCTATACCACACGGATTTTCTTAGTTTTTCTTGTTTTCCTATACCCGTTCGTTACAGGTGAAGGAGGTGTTTCTTTCGCCCATGTATCCCTGTAGGCGCCAGCAGAAGCTTGCCAGGAAGGGTGAGGCTGCATGGGTAAGTTATCATTCCTAATGTAGTAAGTTATCATGGGTAAGTTATCACTCCTAATGTAGTACATCCATAAATCCATGGGTGCTCAGTTTTTGAGGCGCCTCAAAAGTTGCTCTGTTTTTGAGGCGCCTCAAAAGTTGCTCTATTTTTGAGGCGACTCAAAAGTTGCTCAGTTTTTGAGGCGCCTCGTAAGTTCATGGGTGCTCAGATGAGCTTGGAACGGGGGCTTTAAAGATGCATCTCGGTTTAAAGATACCCCAATTCAGAGATGCCTCAGTTTTCTGCCTGATTGCCCCATTGTGATTCCGCAATACATTGTGCCCCAAACCCCCGATGCGCTTATTCTTAGTCTTCCTTGTCTCTCCCCACTTATCATTCGAGTGTATTTGTTTGCAGTGGATTTGTAACGTCGTGAAGATTCGCCGCAATCCACATCCCATTATCTACAGGTACCGTAATAATTACTAGCGAGTCGATTTTTGAGTCGACTCAAAAATCGACTCACTACACGCGTAATAATTACTAGCTTAAGCTCAGCCTAGAGAAGATTAAGATTAGATACTTGTTAAGGACGAGTCACCTGTTGGATCCAGGTCGA